GGATAATAATCAGCCAAAACTCCAATTATATTTATTTATTTATTTACTTATTTATTTATTTATTTATGTTTGGTTTTTGGTCTTTGTGAGACAATATCTCCATGTAGCACCAACTGGCCTGGAACTCACTATGTAGACAAGGCTGACTTTGATCTCACAGAGATCCACCTGCCTCCGCCTCTCAAGTGTAGAGATTGATCAAAGGTGTGTGCCACCACTCCCAACTAAATTAATAAAATTTTTAATTAAAATAAAAGAGGAAGCAGGGCTGGAGAGATGGCTCAGCAGTTGAGGACACTGACTGTTCTTGCAGAAGACCTGGGTTCAAATCCCAGCACCCACATGATAGCTAACAACTGTCTGTAACTCCAGTTCCAGGGGATCTGACAGCCTCTTCTGTTCTTTTGCATTGCATGACACCAGTGCACTTACCTAAATGTAGGCAATACACGCATACACATAAACTAAAAATAATAAAATATTAAAAAAAGAAGATGCGGGTGTCAGATCTCTTGGAACTGGAGTTAGAGGCAGCTGTGAGCCAGCTCGTGGGTGCTGTATCTTGAACCCAGGTCCTCTGCAAGGGCAGTAAGTGCATTACCTTCTGAGCCATTTCTTCAGCCCTTGTAACTTTATTTCTTGGTTTTTATTCATCTTCTTTTCTGTGGCTTTGTGTGTGTGCGTGCATTTATTTGTGTGCAGGTGTGCACACAAGAAGGCCACAGGAGGATGTTGGGTGCCTTATTCCCATGAGTCAAAGTTTCTCACTGAACCTAGACCTAGGCTGATAGCCACTGATCCCCAGCAAATTCCGCATGGGTGCTTCGAATTTGAACTCAGGCCCTCATGCCTACACAGTAAGCATCCCACCCACTGAGCCATCTTCCCAGGCTTGTGGCTTAATTTTTTAAGAGAACATAAACTTTAGGATTTTGGGTTGCTGAGTTCTAGACAGTCAGCAAACACCCATCACCACCATCCATGCTGCAGGCAGGGCAGACAGCACCAATTGATCAGCACTGTAGAGAGCACCCATCCATAGGGACTCTCTCTTCCCACTGGGCAAATGTTCAGGATCCTAATAGTGTGTTCCAAGCCACCACTAGGAAGCAATTAGTCTTAACAAAGAAGCTGAACTGTATTTGCCCATTGCAAATTTCGAACATGACCTTCAGAAATTCCTGGAATCGTGCAAAATGACTCAGAATATATTTCCCTCGGGGAGTCTGACCCTCCTGAATATGAGTTCTTTGCTGAGAACCTCCCAGCAGCACCCTCCCTGTTCCAAAGGGATTTGGAATCATTCTAAACCATCCTCCTCATTTAAAAAAAAAAAAAAGAAAGAAAAAGGGAACTGAAATGCCCAAGATTAAAAGACTCGCTCAAGGTCACAGCATGAATTTGCATCAAATCTGTAGTATAAAATGTAGCAGCTGGGACTGGCAAGATGGTTCAGTAGATAAAGGAGCTTGCCACCAAGACTGACAGACCTGAGTTCGATCCTCAGGACCCATGTGGTAGAAGCAGAGATCTGACTCCTGAAAGTTGTCCTCTGGCCTCCACAGATATACCATGGCACATGCACACCTCATCTCTCTGGGCATCAGTTTCTTCATCTAAAATATGGGGCTAATTGGAATGCTGAGTTCACAGGATAGTGGGAAGAACCAATGATCAATACATGAAGAGTATTCCCTTATTAGGGCCATGGGGACTTGTGGCTCATCCATAGAGCCCCTGCCTAGAATCCCCTAGTGAGGGGTTCAGGTGTGGCTCAGTGGTAGAGCACCTGCCTAGAATCCCCCAGTGAGGGGCTGTGGTGTGGCTCAGCTGTTGTGGTTGTGTTGCATGCACAGGCTCTGGGTTCCCTGGATTCCATCTCCACAGACACACAAAGATCTCAGTGAATTTACCAGATATCCTGGTCATTCTCAGTCCCTCAGAATGATGGAGAACATATATCTTGCAATCAGCTTTTAAGCTTCCCTCACTTGTGTAAAACACATGGTAATTCCTACATACCAGTTACTGTGAATGTCTAAAGGGATCTTGTTCTGAGGGCAAGCATGGGGATCATGGGGAAAGCCCACTGTTCCCTTGGGCAACTGGAGGAAGCTTGCGTCTAAGAGGCAGATGGGCTTAGTGTCAGTTAAAGACTGTCAGTTTGTTTGAGTCACTCAGCTGCTGAATGGGCACAAAGAAGCCGGTAGGTTCCACAGGAGGCTCAGGAAGAAAGTCAAGTGGATGAGTGTAGGAAAAGGCAGGCGGCAGTAACAGAATTACACTCAGAGGGTCCTAAGAGATCATTTTGTATTGACCTTGACTTATCATTTATTGTCCTTATACAAGGACTGAATTACAAAGCGATGCTATAACTTCATTCTGCAACACATTGTCTCTCTCTCTCTCTCTCTCTCTCTCTCTCTCTCTCTCTCTCTCTCTCCCCACCCCTCAACAGGGTGGCCTTAAAATCCCTATGCTTAAGTCAAATATGGCCTCAAATTGTTCTTCCTGCCCCCTCCTCTTGAGTGCCATCGTACCCAATTTATGCTGGGGGTCAAACTCAGGGCTTCAGGACTGCTAGGCAAGCACTCTATTAGCTGAGCTACATCCCCAGTCTTAAGGGTTTTTTAATTTATAATTTTATTTATTGTTCTGATGGGGGGGTACAGGCTTGCCAGTGTGTGTGTGTGTGTGTGTGTGTGTGTGTGTGTAGGTTAGAGGACAATTTCCAGGAGCCAATTCTCTCCTTCCACCATGTGGGGATCAAACTCAGGTCATCGGGATTGGCTGCTAGTGACTTTAATCCCAGCACTTGGGAGGCAGAAGCAGGTGGATCTCTTTATCAAGGCCAGCCTGGTCTACATATTGAATTCCAGGCCAGCTGGGGCTAAAGAGAGACACTGTTTTTATTATTTTCATTTTTATTTTATGTGTATAAGTATAATGACTACATGTATGTAAGTGCATCTATGCAGTGCAATGCCCACAGAAGTCAGAAGAGGGCATTGGATCTCCTGCAACTGGAGTTATGGATGGTTGTTAGCCACCATGTGGGGGCTGGGAACTGAACCTGGGTCCTCTACAAGAGCAGCCAGTGCTCTTAACTGCTAAGCCATCTCTCCAGCCCCTGCTGTCTTTCTTTTTTTTTGTTTTCCTTCTATGTATATGAGTGTTTTGCCTGCATGCATGTAAGCACACCCAGTGGGAGACGGTGCCTTAAAAAAACAAAATTGGCCTTGAATTTGCAGCAATCCTCCCTCTGCCTCCCAAGTGCTGGGATTATAGACCAGATCATATGGGACTGTTTTGTTTTTTGAGACAGGATCTTACTATGTAGCCCCAGCTGTCCTGGAACTTCCTATGTAGACCAGGCTAGCCTGGAACTCACAGAGAATCCACCTGCCTCTGCCTCCCTAGTGCTAGGATTAAAGGCTCAAAGGTCTGTGCCACCGCCTGGCCAGACCTAATTTTAGTGAAAGCAGGTTAACCTTCAGGAGAAAAACCAAGACCATAAATCTCTTCTACCCAATCCCTTTTTCCTCTGGTTAGGCAGAGACGTGTTTGAAATAAAGTTTATTGAAGTTTCTGTCTGTATTTACATATGATACACGGTAAATAACAGAGCCAGGCCCCCCCACCCCACCCTTTCCCCACCCCCAGTGCCTCCCTCCC